TTGTCCTCTGCCATGTACTACCCTGCCTTGGAGCCAGCCAAGTATGGACTGAAACCTCCAAAAACTGTGAACTAAATAAACTTTTCCTCCCTTAATTCTGGGTGTTGGATATTTTGTCTTAGCAATGAGAGAAAAATAACCAAGACAAGAGAGAACAGGGGTGGCCCCACCCAACTGCTTCTCTTCTGTGTGTCTTTGTTCCCAAGCACAAAATGCTGGTTCACCTAACTTACCACCTGGTGATTCATATTGTTATTGTTGTTTTGGGTTTTTCTCTCCATTACTGGAGAGTAAATAGTACTGCCTGCTATCCTGTGTGCTTGAGTTGGGACCCTCCCATGTCACTGGCATTCCCTCTGGTCTCTGGGACTTCCCAAGCAGTTCACCTCAGTCATGGCAGCAGTGAGGGGAGGGGCCATTCTCTGGCCTTCTAGAGCAGTTCACCATGAACATGGGAGGGGCTGTCCTCTTCTTTGCCATTTACTTGGGTCCTGGTGGTAAAGAAGGTCTCTTTCTCTTCTTTTGTTTTTCTATTTTTTCTTTTTATCTCTTTTAAATGTTTCTCCTGAGGGTAAAAAAGCTCTACTGAGGAGACATTTATTGTTTATAATTTTCTCATTTGTTTTAATTTTATTATTAACTATAAATCTTCCCCAAGCAAGAAGAAAGAATTTGATGTACAGATAAATGAGGCATATAGACCTCCAATTAACCATAGTGTTTCAATTCACCAGTCTAAGGTGAATTGTGCATATATATTTGATTGTTATCTGTGCCTCTTGGATTGTTTCCTTAATAAGGATGTAGTGACCTTATTTTCCTCTCTTAATCAGTCTTGGATTGAAATCCACTTTGTCTGCAAATAGAATAGCTACCCCTGGGTTTTTTTTGGTCACAAGGAGTATTGTTTTCCATCTTTTGACTTTCAGTCCATGAATTTCTTTTTGAGTCAAACGTGTTTCTTTTATGCAGTGTACAGTTGGATCTTGCTTCTTAATCCGTTCTGCCAGTCTGTTTCTTTTGACTGGTGAATTGCTTTTTTTTTTTTTTTGGTTTTTCTCCAGTACCAGGAACCGAACTCACGACCTTGCGCTTGCCAGGCGGGTGCTTTGCCACTGAGCTAAATCCCCAGCCCTTGATTGGTGAATTGAGACCATTAACATTGATGGTTATAACTGGTGTGTATTGATTTATTCTTGTCATGTTATTTTCCTGTTGTTGGTTCTCCAGCCCCCCTATTTAATTGCTTGCCTTGCCTGTAGATTTATTCTGTTTGGGTTTATGGAGTTACAGTTCTTGTTATCTCTTTTCAGAACATCCCTTTAGAACATTTTTGAGTGGTTGTTTGGTGGTCATGAATTTCCTCAGGTATTCTTTGTCATGG